ATTATCGAGATACTGACTTTTTAACGTTATTTTATGATAAATAATTAAAAATGCATCGAACCTTAAAAATCGAAATATCTCAAAAACTATAACGAAAATTCACAGGAGAGCTTTTTTATGTTGAAAAGTGCGAAGAATCAGTTTTTTTTATTCAAAAGGCAAAAAATTGCACTAAGAAAAAATTTTCGGTCATTTTAATACACTACAGGTACAGTAGAGGGCGCCCTCTAGCGGCTACAGTAAAACTATGCCCATGGTTCGTTTTGTTGTACCAAAAAACCCTTGTATACCAATTTTCACTGTTATACATCAAATATTGTTCGAAATATTTAAAAAAAACTATTTTAGAAAGTAAATTTAAACACCCTGTATTTCGGAAGCCACGCATTTTTCGACCCATGTTTATATAGACTTTATGCATTGATTTTAAAAGTTCTATCGAATCTTAAAGTTATGCAACAATAAACTGAAACACCCTGTATACAGCTCGAATGTAAATACTTTTCCTAAGAACAATTAGATTCACAATTAAAGTAGATGAGACTTAAATTTAGTTTCTGTGGGACCTTTTCAGAATCCATTAGGAAATTTTGTTTGCCTCCAATACTTTACATTTTAGGTATACAATCCTGTTAAGGAGGTTGGTCACTTTTTTATTTTGTCTCTCTGTCGTCGCTGATTGGATTTTTGTGTAGTGTATCCCTTAACGATGTTATTGTTAAGATTTTTAAATTCCCGAGCTATACGGTCCGATTTTCTTTAATCTGATTTCTATACGTTCTCAATCGAAAAATATCGATGAGCTCGAGCGCAAAGTATGTTTATGACATAAGCCCATTCTTTTTTAAAAAAACTGGTTTTTCAGACAATGTTATTTGATAACTTCTGTACTACGCTTCTTCCGTCACGTCTTAGGTGCTCATGTCATGTAAACAATGGTAACGTGTCAAAATTAAAGTAGTTAGTCTCAAAGTTAAAGCTTCAGTTGGACCTCTTCAGTATCCATCAAAAAATTTGGTTTGCCTCCAATATTTTTCAGGTTTCAAAATTGTTAGGTACACAATCTTGTTGACGAACCGTAGATTCGGACTGAGCACTCAAAGAAACAAGTGGCTGAAATAAATCAAACTTAACGCACAACTGTCCAGGTAATTATGCTTATAATACATTAACATTTATCAATCGATTATGTTTATACGATTTCTTGCGGAAACAGTCGTCAACAACATTTTCGACAATTGTCTAGAACACTAGGTGCGTATGGAACCCACGCACTTTTAGGTTTTCGCAGAAAAATACGAATTTCATGTGAAATGTCAAGATCTGTCAAACTGGCGGTTTAAGCTTGATCGACTTGTAGTATGATGTTTCTTCCCTCCTAGAGACTTTGAGATTTTAGAAACAAACAAATCGCAAAATTGCTCCTTCTACTTGAATTCGTTGCTTGTACGCAATTGAGTTGATGCAGTGTGTGGCCACCTCTAGAATGCAGAAAAAACGATATTGGTGCAATGAAAGCGCTTCTGTTACATTATGGACCCGTTGCGTTGTGGAAATATCAAGTTGACCAAAAAGCTGGATGTGTTTTTGGATTATTCTAATCTCATTTATTTTTATGCACGCCGGATAATGGATCTTCGATTGCGAGTTAGCGTTCATAAGGATGTCTAGTTTTTACACCGAATGGTGCTGTAGGTCTATCGGCGAGGCACTTTGAAAAAAAGTAATTGAATGCAATTTCTGATCGTGTTTTGATTACGTGATTTTCAAATGCTTTCTTGGGTATTAGGAACCCAGTTGCAAACAACATACCGGGTGTTCGGAATTTGACCAATGGAATCTCGGAAACGGTAAGAGATACGACTTCAGTTCACAATGGGGATAGAATTGTGCAGTTAACTAAGAAAATGGCACATGGAGAGTTTCGCAATCGAACCTGGTACTAGAGAATTTTCCAAAAATCGTTTTGTTACTTTATTTGGGACAACATTTCTAAATAAATTGCGCATTAACATTACCACTTTTTATCCTCTATAAGGCGCACAATTAGAATTTCGATTTGACGTTTCGTCTCTTGATAGATATCAATTATCAACGTTATTTGTTCTCATGGACATCATATGGAATTTTTGCACAAGCAAATAGGGTATTTCATTCTGATTTCAAAAATGTATATTACTTAATACTTCCTAAACAGGCCTTAAAACTATCAGAGCCATTTTTTTTCGTAATATCATCAACCATTACTCAGCAGCGGTGGCCGCAGTAGTAGACTCTTCGGTCTCCTGATCAGTCGCCGTGCGCTGTGCGGGTTCGAATCCCGTCCAGGAGAAATTTTTCTCTTGGCTATGGATGTCATTGTCCGTAGGTGGTAGACGGTCTCTGACTGTCGAACGCGGAGGTACCACCCGGCGGATCTCGTAGGCGGAGCCAGAATGTGTGCATGCTGCATGCAAACGTGTTCCCTCGCCAGAGTCCGTGTGGCGTTCCCCCTTTCCCTGTATCCCCCTATAGCCCGACGGTACCCAATGGGTGTTTAGGCCTTCATGGTAGTTGGAGTATCAAAAAACAAGCATTGCTTCAGTTTTTATGCACTTCCCAACTAACAATTATCACTCCTATTAGAGTTGCAAGAATGATTATACAGTATTCCTTACACAGCATTGTATTCTGTAAGAACATTGGCAAAACCCTCTTAGAACAGCTATACAAGCGGAATGGGCACACCTAATAGGTTACTTCAGTCATTTAAGGGCTGCAGGTAACAGTTATACAACAAAAGTGTAAGCCTCTTGCAGCCGCTATAGAACATTTGTGTGAGTGCAAGATTCAGTTTTTGTCAACTATACAACTATTCTGTTACGTGATTCTACTTTATTGCAACCAAACTATTTCTTATGTATTGTGTAGGTGAAGTGAAGAATATATAGCTAACACATTACGGTCATCTTGTTTACTCACATATCAGCCATTGTGAATTTCATACACAGGTATATGATAAACTTCTACACTGTGATATAGGGCTGTTGAATTACTTGCGCAGCAAATTTTATTGTGATTATCGTGCAAAGTAGTTACCCAATTTCTACGGGCTTCGTATTTGATTCATATTTTAATAATGATCAAAAGTATGTCTAGATTTTTAAGATGGAAAACTGAACTTATCTGCGTTAAATCTTCCACAAAACCTATATTTAGACACAATTACACTAATTTTTATCACTTCATATCTGTAATTTCGAACTGAAACATAATTATTTAATATTAAATAGAGGAATAAATGTTTGCCCAATATGGCGGGTGGTTGTGTGTAATCAGGGCATCGTCCATGTTGTATTTAGTTTATTAAAATATTTTGGTGTTACCTGCAGGTGTTATACAACAATTTGACAAATGTCTGAAATGAGTCGAATGATTTACTCAGAATTTGTACCAGATCTATATCTTCTGTTTGAACAGTTGATAAAACCTTTTGAACCAATATGCAAGCGTTGTGAGTCTTAAAACATTGGTTATGGTATTTTAAAAAAAATATGACAGCAGAAAGTTAGGTTATGGTGAAGATGTATACCAACATATTTAGCAACAAATGTATGCCGAGCACAGCAATTTTGTACTATAAAAGTTGTAATATTGTTGCATATCTACAGCATTTAAACAGTTACTAAACAACAGTTGTATAAGTGCTTCTGTTGGGAGCAATTTGTTGGCTAAGGCAGTAAATTTGCACAGCAAAACAACAAGGCTCAGGTTTGTTTTATGAACGTTACCATGGATGCCACAACACGACCATTTTGACTAACGGGCAAATATGCCGTATAAAATAGTTGTATAAACGTTTATGCAGCAGTTAAAAATTTGTCCTATAAGGTGTTGTATACCTATGCTATAAGAATATTTTAAACACCTCATTTAGAGCAAATAAGGCCTCAAACGAAAAAATTAAAATCGCTCAATACTTTTTTTATGTTCATTTCTGCAAAACATTTTTTTATACGCTCTCAATATTCGTAATTCTACGCATCTATTAGACGCCTCGGAAGACGGAAGGGGACCTATCGGCAGCGGCTGCTGCAGCTGGCGTCGTGCGCCTACCATGATGAGTGTTTTGGTAAGGAATCATAGATATTTCTGCAACAGCATAGTGTTTTCTGTGCTCTGACCGCACCACCACGTCTGCCAGAGTTAGGTTTCGGGGAGAGGCGACATTTCCAGTTGCACTACCGGTAGGGCAGGTAGAAAATGTCTATAGACTGACTGTATGGATCTGGGTGTAGTTTGTGCTCATCATATTCCACGCGTTGCGTGGGAAGTGCAGAGTCAACCTACTCGACGCCATTTTTTTTATAATATCGATGACATTCTGCTTGCTCGTCACATCATATGACATACCATAAGAAAGAAGAGAAGTGGAGGAAGCTATGACTTTAAATGTTGCCAGATTTTTGTTTAGTTCGTTAGAAAAGCCACGAGGCACTGCAAAATCGCAACATTCAGTAAATCAAAATTATTTTTCAACATGTACGTCATTTTCTGATAGCGAGGATACTATTTGTATACGAAGATAAATGATAAAAATTACAGAACGAAGGAGCCGCTCTTTATTATTAAGCGATGGTTTATGCCATGATTAAGGCTTTGTTCTTGGATAGCACAAAATTGCGCGTAACTCAAAAGCGGTTCGAAGTTAGATGTGGCTTGTGTTTTCAAAATGGGGTGTGCTATCATGTATCGACCTTTCGGATACCCGCCATATTCATCCAAGAACATTTTTAGGCATTCCTACAAATAATAATAAATCGTGTTAGAAATGTACAGGGACGATGTATGGAGTTTTTAAAAGTATCCTATGTCAGAACTTTCTTATCGATGATGATGGACAGAAATAACTTTCGGCGCCTGAGAAATAAATCTAAGATTCCACTACTCCAGACGGATGTATTATGAATACGAAGAGACAGAAATAGCAAAAGCACTCGAGCATTCGGCAGCTGTCTGAAATGCACAAATTCCATTTGGAGGAATGCACTCCCACACAGGTGTGTTGTCCCTAATCCCGAAAAGTGTTTCGTCGGAGTCCCGGTGGGATCCCGGGAAATGGATTGGAAAACTCCCATCCATCGATTTGTATTCGACGCTCGATTCCACTGAATATGTTCACATATTCAGCGAAACGGCCATTTTTATGTTCTCCCTTCTGACTGTCTTACTTATGCTTTCTTGAGGATGGATTATAGCCCAGGCGTCATGCCATTTAAGCTAAGAGAAATGCGAAGAAGAGACACTGCCACCTATGAGTGGTTCGCCAAACGCGGTACTTTTGACTATATTCTGATATCTAAACAGGACCATCATCCCAATTTTCTGTCTTCTGTTTAGGACTGACTGAAAAGTTCCCGGTGGAACGTCACGTGTACCATATTGAAGGGGCAACGACGCCAAACTGACGCACTTCCTCCTCTTTGCCTTACCTCCTCCTATCCCTTCCTTCTTCTTCCTTTTTTTTCTCACTGAGTTGGTCTGGTAAGGAAAATCCATTGATACAGCAAATATATTTACTTAAAATTTTAATTTCAACTTTCTCTTACCTATGGCTAGTAGGAGTAGTAGTGGTGGTTGGGGGGTGGGCGGTCAGGCAAGTAGGCCACATTTGGCCCTTTTTGCCAATCCCGGGTATACCAACATTCTACTCCACATGTTAGGTCAGGGTGTCCAACCATTCCAGTAAGTAACTAAACTAAACTAAATTTCTTGGCCCCCGAATATCTCAGACTTTAGAATACAATTTACGGGGCAATCGTCCAGAAATCCACTTTCTGAAAATAAAGAAAGTGGACGTGGAACGCTGTTTTGCCCTCCTCCAAGCACAGGGGGCGGGTTAGACCTCTTCTCACCCTTAAGTCTTTCAAGGGCAATGGTATATAAAATAAACCACCTCAAAGCATGCTTTAATTAGGCGGTGGTACATATTTAGCACCATTGCTAAAAATTTCATTTACAGATCGGGCAGCGGTTCATTTCATAAACCACCGCTCGAAGTAAGTTGTTCACGTGCCTATAAAAGCGCGTGTTCCTGCAATAGCGCGGGAGATCGGAATACCGTATGCAAAAGCAAAGTAAGGTTATGATTCATTTGTCAAGAATATATACCAGCTGTGAGTGGGGAAACACTAAAAATGTAAGTAACATTGATCGATGTACTTATGTTATTAAAGTTGTTTTGTCATGATTTTATCCTATATTTATTTGAAAAAAAACCTCTAATGTTTTATATTTACTGGTACTCAATGCGTACCACCGCACACATTACGTTTTTATTTTTCACCCTATTTTTTGTTATTTTCAGATTTACAACGTGTCTGACTTGCTATTTAAATTAGTCGATATGACGGAAGGTGAATTATACGCCGATCTCGAAAACATTTATTCAGAAATGGAACAAAGTCGTATAAACGGTGAAGAAATTCCATCTGATTGTGAATCATTAGCCAATAACAGAGACGACCAAGAAAGTGATACAGAAACTACTATTAGAAGCAACGTGTTGATATGTTTATGTAGTGACTCAGAAGATGATCTACCTTCCTCACCAGTTGGAAGAAAATCTCCAGTTTGGTCTAATGTGGAAACTCCAGACTTTACTGCACATTCTGGTCTAGCAGATTGTGTAACGAATATGACAGATCCCACACCGTATAAATTGTTTCAATTATTTTTTTCTGGCTGTTTGATAGAAAGTATTGTTTTTGAAACGAACCTGTATGCTCAACAAAAGCTTAGCAAGCATAAACCAAGTATGTTCGTGAAATTAAAACATTTTTGGGGTTAAATTTACTTATGGGCATAAAGCGCCTTCCAAGCTATAGGGACCATTGGTCTAGTGCGCCAGATCTTCATGTCAGTAAAGCGATTTAGTTGGTTGCTTGGCAATATTCACTTGAATGACAATTCATTGATGACAAAAAAAGGTGAAGTAAATTACGACAAACTGTACAAAGTAAGGCCATTGTTGAAGAGTATGTCAGAGGCATTTGGAAAATGTATGCTGCCAAGTCGTGAAGTTGCCATAGATGAATCATTGATAAAATTCAAAGGGAGAAGCTCACTCAAACAATATATGCCAAAAAAATCTACTAAAAGGGGATACAAAGTGTGGATGCTCGCAGATAAAAATGGGTACTGTCTAAAATTTGATATTTATACAGGAAAGCCTAGTGGTGATGTCGAGAAGAACTTAGGCTCGAGAATTCTGAAACAGCTATGTGAGGGTCTTGAAAATAAAAATTACTTGGTCTATATTGACAATTTTTTCAACGAAGTCGAGCTAATGGAAGATCCAAAAAACATGCACATACATGCCCGTGGTACTGTTAATTCTTCTAGGCGGAATATTCCGAAGTTCAAATCAGATAAGAACATGAAAAGAGGTGATATCGAGTGGTTTACAAGCAATAGTGATTTGTCTGTTATTAAATGGAGGGACAAGCGTTCCGTTTTCTCCTGTCTAACTTCCATGACCCACATGATATTCTTGAAGTGAACCGAAAAGTGAAGAATGGACCAATTACCAAAGTACCTTGTCCAAAAGCCCTTTCTGATTACAATGCCAATATGAATTTGGTCGACAAGTTTGACCAAAATCTGACTTCCTACAAAATAGATCGGAAAAGCGATAAATGGTGGCATCAGTATTTTTTTTCCTGGATGCTGCTGTTGTTAGTACATTTGTATTATATAAGGGGTTACAGCTACCCAAACTTTCTATGAAAGATTTCCGAAGAAGTATAATACAAGGTCTTGCTGGTCAGCTGGTAGATAGAAAAATAAACTATTGCTATAAAAAAAACAACCATATGTTTCTGAAGAAATTCGATTTGAAGGTTCATCTGATCAACCTAAACGCGGTACTCGACGTCAGTGTGCTTACTGTAGTACTAAAAAAAAACAAGTAAGAACGGACTGGGTATGCAGCGTTTGCAACGTGCCTCTTTGTTTAACTAAAAATAAAACCTGTTTCCAGGACTTTCACAGAAATAAATATGAACAGGGCGGTGGTACATATATAGCACCACGTATTATTTGGCAAATATATGAAAAAATATACTAAGTTACATATAAATCCGAACACCCAGTTTAAATGGTTTTATTTTAATAAAATTTTGTATAAGTAATTAATGAAGCATAATAAGTAAATGATAAAAATTTCAAAATGATTGCACTGCTTTAAAGCCCTTTGACCTTTAATAATGTGTGGATGCACCCTGATGTGCTACGCATTCTCCAACGCGCCTAGGCATGCTTCTGATCAGGTGGTCAATGTCCTCCTGTGGTATCTCATTCCAGGCAACCACCAACTCCTCTCGAAGTGCTTCTAGAGTCTGAGGAGGACGTTGCAAATTGAGTAATCTCCTACCCATCATATCCCACACGTGCTCAATTGGGGATAAGTCGGGAGATCTTGGTGGCCATGGTAACAATGTGACATCATTATGTTGAAAGAAGTCTATTGTGACTCTTGCAACATGTGGTCGGGCATTATCTTGTTGGAAAGTTGGATCTGCCAGGGTGTCAAGATAGGGTAAAAGATGAGGTTCTAAGAGACTCGTCACTAAAGACAATATTGTTCCATTCCTGATGCCAGAGTGACCGTTGTCTGCACCACTCAAGGCGATTACGTCGGTGTTCTCGAGTTAAAGGACGGTAAACACTTCGCATGCCAATAGGTCTTCCGTGTTCTGCAAACCATTCATTTTCAATTGACCTGGTAGTGGAGAAACGGTCCCTTAAGGCCAATAATCTTAGGCGGCGATCTTCACGGTCTGTTGTTCTATGGCGGCGTCCAGTGCCCCTTGCTCTTTGCGTACGGCCTTCTCGAAGCCATGCCTGACAACACCTAACCACAGTGTCTACACTTCTTTGCACTCTAACTGCAATTGCCCGAAAAGAAAGTCCAGCTTCCCGAAGTCCCACTATACGGCCCCTATCAAACTCACTAAGTTGACGAAATCCTACAGGTCTCCGTACTCTAGGCATCGTGACCGATCGTAAAGGATGTCAAGAACCAAAATCCGCCAACGTTGATTCTTTACTGCGGCTGAAATATTCATTTTTAGAGCGTTAGTGAATTAAAAAAAAGCAGTATAAAAACCGGAATGTCCAACTGATAAGGCTGAAAATGTTTTCGCTTGTTATTTACAGTAAGATAAATACATTCAGCAACTTTTATCAAAATAAAACCATTTAAACTGGGTGTTCGGAGTTATATGTCACTTAGTATACATGTAAAAATAACAAATATGCAAAGTTTTGAGTATTATTTATATCCCCAAATAGCATTTTATGTGTGAAACAAATAATATAAAAAACTATTTTTTATGCCCAAATACAGAATAAATTTTATAAAATAGTTGCCCCTGAAAGAGTTAAAAGGGATAAGTGCCTGTTCAGTCTGCAATTGTCGGTAAGAACTCCCACTAAAAGGTTGAGTGATTCTCTACCCCTATCCAGTAGCGAGCGACGCTTGTCGTTGCCTGCTACGAACCTTTCGGCCTGTCTGCTGTCATCTGTCTTGCCACGCTATTTTTCAGATCCCTATATACCAATTCATTCAGAGCGGAGTTGACCTGGTTCTCCTATTCATGCATAGCCTTGACTCGGAACCGATGCAGGTGCTTCTGGCCTCCACCCTAGTCAGGCGATCAGCTTTGTGATGGCCTGGTCATTCCTGAACTGAGAGTGAGCTTGTCCTCGAGGATGCTGAAACTAGCAAGACTGCTTGAGTGCCGGAGCATATGAATATGTTCCACTTGGTGCAGCTTGTAGCTTTCCTGCACGTCATTGCCTTCCAGATATACTCCTGCACCTCTGGATGCTGTTTCGCTGGAAGAGGATCCGTCTGTAAAGAACATAAGACACTGAGGCGAGAATGTTACTTCTCTATTCACCCATTAGGGCTTCGAGTGAGATGAGTGAGTTCGATCTTATGGTGTTTCTGGCCCTTTCGACTTTTACCGAAGATATGGGGAGATATGGGGATATTGATCTCCTGGGTCCATCGTCGTGTAAAGCCAATGCAGGACCCTTGCTTTCAATCCCCAAGTCCTGCCGACTGCCCGACGCATCTGCCACATGGCCACTATGGACTTCTTGTTAATATAGTCGACATGCTGCTTCCATTATCACTTACAATTCAACACAACGCCCCTATGTTTAATTGTGAAGAAAATTTCATTTAAATTAGATCATTTTTACTGGGTGTTTTATTTTATTGTTCACTGAGTATGCGTATTGTTACTTAAACATTATGTAGAGGTCTAATTTTCACAATTGCTCTTGTACTCGAGCGTAGACGGGGGAGTGTTTTCGATTTTTCTATTTTTCCGCTACCTCCGCTCTATTCAAATGATTTCCATGAAAAAGCACTGAACTTTTGTCGGTCGCCAAACTCAGTCCCTGTTCAGTGAGTATTCGGGTAAGCATAACCGGAAGCAAGCGCCGTTCTCTGCGGTTCTGCCGGACTGTGCCCGACACAATTTCCGGTGTCCATGCCCGCACACAAACTGTCACAAGAGAGATGACCAATCGTACAATCTACATAGGTCCTTAGGGCGACCACCAATGGTCAGATCTATTTTGAGATAACTCTTCCGTGTCGTAATGTGTATTTCGGCATTTTATCTATAAGCACTATAGTTGTATCCGTTTTGAGGTTGCAGATAGAATAAGCACCTCGTTCCATTGTTACCAAGAATTTTCTCTTTATGTATGGCAATATTTTGAACTTATTGTATGAGAAGAAATATTTAATTATACTTTGGGTCCAGTCCGAAGACATCACTTTGTTTATTCACTATGTAGTCCGCCCCTGGAGTACGATCCGCGCACCAAGTTGAAAGACGAGAATCCCCACCTCCTCGCCGCGCCCTGGCCACTCGCGTTGAATCATTCGCTTTTTGGTGCGCGATCCGTGCAGTCGCCCGGCCTGCTTCAGTTCAGAAAACGCGTGCGATTTCTCTTTTCGGTACATAGTGCTCAGTGAGTAGGTAGGTAAGTTCACAACAAGGCTATTCTTTTTGATACCACTTAGCAGTCTGTTACATAATTGATTGGCGTATTCAACCAGATTGAATACGTTAACCAATGGTTATACTTGTTTAACAGAAACCATGGAAAAATCAGGAATTTCGGAGGCCAATTCACCCAGCTCCTTGAGAGACATGATTCGGGCCATTTTACAGGAGGAGCTCGAGGCAAGGTCAGGTGGTTATCGTTCTCGCACTAATTCGAGAAGTTTATCCCGAAAGAGTCGACACAGCAGATCCATGTCTCGTACCAATTCACCTCATCATTTTAGACGCTCCCGCTCTCGCATCAGCCGTAGGCGTTCAAGGTCACGTTCTAGGAGTAGTAACAGTCACAGTCGATCACCGAGCGTGTCGAGGCGACGTAGAGAGAGACGGGAATATTTGCGTCAAGAGAAAAACTCAGGCAGCCCATCTGATAAGGTACAGCGTCAGGTAGACTCGGCTGGCCGTTCTCCGTGCGAGGCGGAAGCTCAGATTCTGACAGGGCCGGACTTGGGAACGGTACCAACTGAGAAAAATGATATGGAGGATGTTTTGATGCTTAGTGAAGGTGAGTGTCTCCCATTATCGGAAGACATATTAAATATCCTGGGTGTAGACCCTAAAAAAGCCAATAGGTCTAACTTCCAACTACACGGTGCCTTAGCTTCTCGATGGTCCCACATTTTGGCCAACGGACTTTCCACCGAGGACACCACCATCATTAGAGAAAAACACATTGTGCCTTCTAACTGTGCCTCTTTACACCCTCCGAAGATAAACCCCGAAGTGAAAGCCATTCTCTCTTCTACTCATTTAACGAGAGATGCCACCCATTCCGGGTACCAATTGAACATTGGTACCGGACTGACCGCCATGGGGAAAGCTTTTAACGTCATTTTGGAAGAAGAAACCCAGATTCCCAAGGATACCAAGGAAAAGATTTTATCGAATTTGACAGATTCTGCGCGAATCTTGGCGGCACTCTTTCACGACATCTCTAAAACTAGAAAGTACCTGATCAGCCCAGTACTCAACAAATCAGTTAAAGAACTGACTGAAAACACCTTACCAGGGGAGTTCTTATTCGGGCCAGATTTAGGTGAGCGGGCGAAAAATTTGAAATCTTTGGAGAAGGCCGGACAGGACCTACGTTTGTCCTCTATCCCCTCACGCAGTAGCTCTCAAGTGACTCGGTCTTTCAGTAATCCTGAAAGAAGAGGGGGGGGAGGCAACTCGTCAAAGAATGTAGGCGCTTTAAACAGGTATCGCCCGTCTTACCGCAAGAGGGAGGTGAGGCAGCACAAGGGCAATTCCTCAAAACAGTTTGCTCCGAACAGACAACAGCAGTCCAGAAAACGTTGAAGGTAAAACAAGTTCTATTTGCTGGTCGGCTACAATTTTACCTCAACTCTTGGTCAAAACTAACTTCAAATCCGATAGTCTTATCCTGGATTCAAGGTTACCGGATTCCCTTTAAATGCACACCTCCATTACGTCAACCTTTGGGCACAAATAATTTTTCTTCGACAGAAACATCGCTAGTTCGAGTAGCTATACGCGACTTGCAGAAGTCCGGGGCCATAATCAAATCTGAGTCAAGGCCCGATCAATTTATCTCTCCATATTTTCTTGCAGATAAATCCAACGGGGGAAAAAGATTTATATTAAACCTGAAACAGTTAAATGAATATGTGGAATGCC